AGTCAGAATAGTCACGTCCCACCGTGATTGTGCCAGACTGCATTTACAAGTCAATGTAAATTTCAACCAATACAAAAGGAGGTTCATAGAAATTCCGAATTTGGGTTTCATTTGAGTTTCAAAATCAAACATTACATTAAAAATATGCAAAGTTTCAGGAAACGAACATTAATATCTAAATGGAATAATAAAAAATTCAAAGACCACTCTGTCAGAGTACCTTCAAATTAAGCTTCAAGGTCTCTTTAACCCATTTAATTCTCTTGGCATTCTCCTACATTTCTAGTTCAACAGTGGGTGAATGTTTTTCCCATTATGCTTAAGATGTCAGGCTGTACATAATATGCATACAACAATGGCAGGGGTCCTCCAAACCAAGTATTCTAAGTACATTTTGTTTAAGTGTTGGCAAAGTAGAATAAACAACATCAAAATACCTTAAACCATGTCATGTCCCTCAACCAACTTGTACACCTCATTAAAAGCCGCCCTTACACGAACCCAAAAACAACCATTCTTCACATAGAAAGATTCTAAGTTCATTCCAAGCCCACCAATGATTAGCAAACTTTACAACAATGAAGTTGGTGGTTTAGTGTGATAAAGGTGGTGGTTTAAAGTGTTTTCTTGGACAGTTTTGGCCAAGTTTATGTATTGATTCACATGCTCAAAGTGTAAAGCCCTTTGAAATTTTATATCAATTAAATCACTATGATTTTTGTAGTGTTTTTCTTTTGGAGCACATCATAACTTTCTTTCTCTACCACTTTTTTTTTTTTTTTTTTTTTTTTTTTTTTCAAAAGCACTGATTTGGTTTAGAGCCCAACAAAAGAATAGTTAATTACATATTACATGCAAGAAATAAGACAAAAAAGAAAAAAGAAAAAAGAAAATGTATCTACAACCCAGGGAAGGTGGGAAGTTGCAAAAAAAGGGTTATGAAATGTCTACTCAAAGAAGCTCGCCAAGTAGAGAGGAGGAAGGAGGAGGAGGAGAGAAATGTGTATTACAAAAGAAATCAAAACAAGGTTGAACTGATCGCAATATCATTTCATCATTTTATCTCAAGTATCTTTTTTGCTATCTTAACCAAAGGAATGCCATTCTAATGAGACATATCAAAATTAGGATTTCTTATATATAAATCAACACTTCTTTTTCTTAGTAGATGATACTACTTACTCTTTATAATGCTGTGGAAGTAATCTCCACTGCTGTGACCAAGTTGCAAGTACTCAACACCTTCCTAAATCAATGAAAAGGTTTACATTGCTTCAAACTTGGTCATCTGTGGTTCTTGGTGTGTGGCTATCACAAGTATGTTGGCTTTCATTCAAGCTCAAGGCACCTTTATAATGAGCATCTTGGCTAGGCTGCTTGAGGTCATGGCCAAAGCCATGGTTTGTTTGGTGACGGCTTTGTTTGTTGGTCTTATTGGTGGCATTGCATCTATTATTGCACAATATAACTGCAATAATGACACCAATGATGAGGATATTTTGAAAGTCTTGTTTCACAATTAGTATAGGCTGCAATTGTTTCCATTGTGCATTTCTATTTGTTGATTTAGGATGCAGTTGGAATCAACTTGATGGAATGGTCAATCAATCAAGGATATTGAGAACGGCCATTGAGCTATAGTATGTACCTACCATGAGGAGATTAATTCCAAGGACGCCATTGAGAAGTGCTCCAATTTGCAAACAAAATTTTACGTGAAATGGATTCATTATAATGGCCAATTTCTACAACTACAAAGATTTTGTGGTGAGCCGGCCTCTAATTTTTATAAATACAAGCAAGTCAAATGTGACTTCTTTGTAATTGGATGAGAGAAGGACAAGTATTAGCAATGCCTTACTGACTTTTCTTTTGAGAGTATTCTACACTCAAAACAGTTCCAGAGAGTTTGTCAAATTTAATAAGGATGGATTATTTTAGATAGCTCTATAGATAAATTTCATCCATCTTTGATTTATTAAAAATAAAACTTGGCCAGGTTCCTAGAATAAGATAAGTTAGGTATTTTAGGAAAAGCCCTAGTTTAAAGTGGCCTTGTACAATGCATTGTACATTGCATTGTACTTGGTATCAAGATGTCTTTGCGTGCATACTTCTAATCAAAGCACTTTTTTAAAGCCAATATCCACACAAGATTCATATTAATAAATACATTGCTTACCAAGCCTCATTTAGAAACCCTGCATAGATGCAACCAAAAATAAACAGTCCTGATTCCCCTCTCAACACCAATTTTTTAGATGATGAGTGATTTTCAAAACTTTCACTCATCATCTAATTTTTTGGTTTTATCTTTTTCTAACTCATTGTCTAATTTTAAATCTCCTTTGGAAAAACATCTAATTTAATTTAAAAGAAAATAAAATTCTCATTAAAATACAACGTTAAAATTTTAATACTGTATAAAATTATTTATTTATTTATTTTTGGATGAGCAGCTAATTTTTCAAAAATATGAAGACGTATCAAAAATATCAAAAATATCAATATCAATATCAAAAATATCAAAAATATCAATATCAAAAATATATAACTTATTAATATTATAACATAGAGTTGTGTGTGTGGTGGTCAAGCTCTTCAAGGATAAAAACATATTACTGTGCATTGTCTTTCCAATCTATCTTAATAAATAAACAAAAGGATAAACAGTTTAGTTCACAAATAATTGACACGAAAACACCAATTAGTGTGTATTAAAATAGAACTTTGTAAAACAACTGAAAGACTTTAAACTTTAAATAAACATCATATGCAAGACAACAATGAGTTTTGTAGACATAGATTTTTGGATTTTCACATTCTTATAGGTTTTGGTGCTAAAAGGATTAATAAAAATAACTTTAAATGTTTTACATTTTCTAAAAATGAAGAAGAATTATTTTAGAAAATATGCATCTTTATATTAGATTTCTTTTCTCAATTATTTCATTTGAAATATATAAAATATCTCTTTTTTAATGATATATATTTTTAAATTACTATTATCTATCTGATTTTTCAAGTTAATTGCATGCAATAATTCTTCAGTTCAAAGTTGTTTGTTTGTTTGTTTTTTTTGTTATGTTTTTTTCTTTTTCTTTTTAAATGAAATTCCACTTTCAAAAATTCAAAAATTTACAAGTAGTTTGCTTTCCACACAAATATTTGCACACATCAAACAATAACAATAATTGTGAGACCATTGTTGTTTTTACCTATGCCATAGGCACATGCCCAATAGGCATCCTAGTATAACACAACACACTTATTTGTGTGTGAATGAGTTTGTGTTTTGGTTGAGATTTCAAGAGATGAAAAAAGTTGGTGCATTGTCTCTTTGATCCATTTCCAAAAAACATGCAGTAAAAAGTTTCATTAGAACTTTTAAGGGCAAACAATGTGCTTAACAATTTAATTCACAAAAAATTGGAGCAAAACTATTAATTGTTGATAATTGAAATAGAACTTTTGTGGTTTGACAAAGAAAGATACAACAATTGGGTGCTATTGTTGGGAGCCATTATCTAAATATGAACTTTATTGTTATATTGTATTATTTTATATTTATTAAATAAATAAAATAAAGAATCATTATAAAAACAACCTCACAAAAAAATAAAAAATAATAAAGACTCTAGCAATAGCTGAGATGTAGTAGATTGTTTGGCAACAAGTAAAACAGTGTATTCTTCTTTGGTTAGTAAAAATTATTGAAGACATAAAAATGCAACTTTACTTAGAATTTTCTTTAAACATGAGACACAAGCTGTAGAAACAATCTAGTTCATATATATATATATATATATATATACATAGTGTTTTGGTTATCTATTAAGTGTTCACGGTTTCTTATAATCTCAATTATAATTATACATAAAAGAAAATTTTATAATTTTATGTTTTTAGTTATTTGGAATCTTAAATTATTTAAAACTATTCTAGCAAAGACAAGTAATATCTCTACTAGTACAAATGATATTCCTCATTATATAGAATACTGAAAGATGTAAATAAAATGAAAATAATAATTTTAGTAATTATTTATAAAATTGTAACACATGAAATATACATATATTTCCAAAAAAATAATTATGTATAGACTTTTTCAATTAGACCACAAATAATATTACTTCTATTTCTGAGTTTAAATTGTATTTTGACGTTATACATGACGTTATCTTATACTTGTAATCACAAGTAACAAAACTGTTATACCAACTCAAAGAATTATTCCCTAAAATAGTTCGATAACAGTGTATAAATAGTATCTTACTTTACAAACAATTTATGCTTAGGAAAATTAACCAAATCAACAAATAACAACAATAATAATAATAATAATAATAATAATAAAATCCTATTGTGAAATATCATATTGAACAAAATATTTGATGTGTAAAACATAAGCACTTTAGGTATGGATTTTGTTTTTATAATTATTGGTTATAATTATTGTAATTGCTAACAAAATCAAATCAACTGTAGATATAAATTGACAGTCATAATAATAACAATAATAACTGGATTGTAAGAAAATGCCTTCACTGTTAGACAATCCTACAAACATTCGGTCAGAATCATTTTGATACCCCACAAAAGAAGAGAAATAGTCCCAAAATAACCTTCTGGAAATTCAATAAGTCTCCTCTTTTGTACAGCACAATATTATCAATGTTCCCAAATGCTGAGATTAGCCCCAAATGACCACTCAAAATGCCTGGAGGGCGCCTCTGAATCTGCTGTAAGTATGTATTCCTCAATAGACGTGAGTGTCTCACATGCTTTGCACGGGACATCCAAAGAGATACCAAAGCCACATATAAATTTCAAAACGATAGGGATCGACTTCTATCCAATTTCTCAGGTGTGTCACTCTGTCCATGATCTGCAATAAAATACAAGTACTCCCTGCATACTTACTTCAAATGCGAAGTAACTTGATAGTGATCTAAAATATTGAGTCCTTCGTCCAATCGGGTAAATTTAGAATAAATCTACGTATACATGTTCCACAGATCACCATCAAAAACTTGAACGTGCACATTTTGACCATATTTTCCAGTCCAAGCATAGTGGATATACAGTGGAAGTGATGCAACTCTTGAGCCTAAAAAAGTTCATTCAACTCAACAAAAGATCCATTGTCAAGGGTTGGTAGGAAATCTTCTGGCTACAACACGAAAATTTTAGTGTTCACCTAAGTTGAAAATTATGTGCGCTCAAATTAATCGGAATCGTCTTGCTGAAAATTGAGACATTTTGAAGGGATACAATTACGTACAATCCCCACTTAGTTCATTTAATTTTGCACCATCCAACTTCAATACAACGCAAGCAAGCAAGCAAGCAAGCAAGAGAGAAACTTGAAAAGCGACTTGTTCCTCCCACTATTTTGCACGAAGCTTCATGTCCATTGCAGTAGATATCCAAAAATTGATAAAAAGAGCTTCACGTTCACAAGGACATAAAAGCAGTATCCCATGGAACCATTCATCAGCAACATAGAAGAGTTCCACATGAACTTGGCATGATGGTACTTACCGTCAATTACAATACCTTCTTCGAGAATGATTCATTAGAAAGTCAAACACAGATCCTCACTGAAGACCAAAGCAACATTCTGCAGAACCAGAAAATATCATAGAGAAACCAAGTTCTATATTAAATAAAATATCACCTCTAACCCAGAAAATTAAAAAAGTTGTTCGCATATTGCATAGGTCTCACGTTTGGATGCCACTGCAAAATCGAAGTTAGACAGATGATAAATAAAGTTAAACAAAGATCAGGGACAATTGTAAAAATGATTAATGAAACACACAAATAAACCGATGGAGTAAGCTGATGTAGGTAACAAAACGTAATATTCATCAAATGACAGCACACACAAACCAAATTAAGTGGCAGGAGGGTGCTCTTGTTATAAAGCACTACTGCTTTCTTATGGTGAGAATAGTGGAAACGCACCACTGAACCAAACTTCGTGAACTCAGGCTTCATATCTGGCGCCCCAAATCGGATAAAAGCTCCTTTATTACCCATCTGCAGACATAAGATGATGTAAAAGATCAGTACAACTTAGCACAAAAGATGCCGTGTTTTCAAACCGCATGGACATTCTGGGTCAAAGCTACAAGCTTGTCCAATATGATTTACCTGATCACAGTAATTTGGTGCAGAGAAGACAGTAATGAGTTTGCCGCCATGGTCCACTTCATAGCCCTCATCCTTGACCTCATGGGACCGCACCACTAGCTCTGTTACAGAAAGGTTCAACCATCACACAACATGGAAAACCAACATATTGCCTTTCAAATTGACACCATGATCAACGATTTCATAAAATTGATGCTATGCAGTCACGCAACTCGTTGTGAAAAGAAGAGTAAAAATGTGATCATTACAACAAAAACACAGCAGCAGCTACTGCTGAATCAAAACCGCATGTACGATCAAGAAAGCTCTGTAAATGAACAGCCAAAAAAAACTCTAAATAATGACCAAGGCATACCTAAATTGTTGTCTTCCAAGAAACGGTGAGTGACATCTGATCCAAACGCAACACCAACACCGCGTTTGCTAGGTGCACGTCCCGTGCCAGGATGAGGATCACTCCACAGTAGCTCACACATTAAACCTGCACAATTTATATTAATAAAAAATGTTGCTACGCGATATGTGGATAAGACTGGCATAAGAACGCTTAAACATATTGTCTGTAAAAACTAAGAGATAAATATTAGCTACATAGCCACTGAGAACTCCATTCCAGCTTCATGGCAGCACAAATGTATTTGGCGTTTAGCTTTCTGATCGCAAACTAATCTGATAGGGATCAGTTCAAGACAATAGTTAAAGAAGCATAGCAAGGGGTGCTTACAACCGAAGTCATCCGAATGTACAAAAATATGAGCCCAGACGTAACCATCTTAACATACCATAAAGAATGTTTCAAAACCTGTGGCTGAACGGAAAATCGGAAATAAAAAGTCATAGGGATGTAGTACACCATCACGTACCTTCATCAGGAGGCTCCCTAAACCGTTCAATTGCAGCTATATCAGATAACTTCACACTATCGTTACTGAAGAGCCCTCCATGGACTACGAATACTTTGTTATTCAGAACATTCGCCAACGGCAAGTAGCAAAAAATCTCGGCAAATAGCTTCGTCATAGTCTCATTGAACTTCGCGTTGACTTCTCCTTCAAAACCATATATTTTGTTCATGCTCTTACTTTCATGATTACCTCTGGAAAGGTACAGTCCTATTCAATCACACACAAAAACATGTTAGGCAGGGTATAAAAAAATTGACAGGACTCAGTCTCCTGATTTACAAAAACAACAAACTCATCACAACTTACTTTTTCAAACCATAATCACTCATTCCAAACATGGCAATCCCTGATACCCACCAACTAGGAATAAGGGAAGCTAAGGGTTCAAATAATCGCAGGTAAAAATATGCAAAAAGATCAAAAATACAATTTAGTAGTTTTGTGGTGAAAATCAATTCTTTCGCAATAGTATAACTATGCAGCAAGTGTCCAAATGAGCGAAGGGTAATCTTTCAAAATGACACAAAAAAATCATTTGCAAATAAAAACCATTGGTAGATGATGTACGCCTCCTATAAATCTTTCACAGTAATTTTCGTCTTCCAAATGTGGTTTTAAGTAGGGTAGGTTTCCATATCAACATTAAAAAAAACAACTTATCCCCGAATATCAGCACCACCCAAGGAACCACGTAAAAGGTCGTTCAAAACAAAGATACCTATCTGAGTTGGTTAGAAATAGTATGGTATACTATTTTACAGATCTTATTATTTCTCATTGCAATAATTTTCATTATTATACGCAAATGATCGACATTGCAAACCAAACTTGAGTAGGGGTCACGTATAATTTAGAACAATAAAAAGCAGTAAAAGCAGAAAATCAATCAGATGTTACCTGTAGGATAGAGACATTTGAGCGCAAACAAAGTAAGAATAACTTCCACCGAAAATGAGCCACGATCAACAAAGTCGCCATTAAAGAGATAAGGATTCTCTTCCGAGGGGAGACCATTAAGCTTGAAAATGTTCAGCAAGTCATAGTACTGCGTCAATTCCATCATCCTCCTAGTTAGAAATCATGTCAAACACCAAGTCATGAAGTAACACACGGAAAATACAAAGCATTGCCCCTACAAAGAATTTTATAGTACCTGTCCATGAATATCACCACAAACAGTAAAATGTCCTCTGTCAGGAACCGTTATGTGAACCAAAGTAGGCGTTGCTAACAAAATCTCTCGCGTTTGCATGAGTATCTGAAAGGCGTACCTGAAAACAAAAATAAAAAAATAAACATTATGAAACCAATTAGAGCGACATTAATCCGACTGCAGAAAACTCTAAGAATGCTACATTCATATGCACCGAGCGATTAGAGAGGTCCCAGCAAATTTCAAAACAATCGACAGTAACGATTCCTTGATTTCAATACAGTAAGAGATCCGTTTTTTTCAAACAATATCAATGATTATGTGCGCCCACCATATCACAATGTCTACTGTATGACACTTCGCTAAAACTCCCAGAAGGGCCGAACTTGTGACATCCTTATCTGTTCGAAGTTCAGAGACTCATATATCGAACAGCGATTTTCAAGAAGAAATTCCACATCAATATGTAAGAACAGAAGCATTCCGATGACGACAATTTCAATCCTCGTTAAAACTATCAAATCTTCCTCTGTAGTACTAAAAATATGTTCTGATATTTACCTGGAATGAACGGAGCGCTGTTGCTTGAAGTCATCCATCATTTTTTTCACAAAATCCAGCGAAATTTTATCGTCTTCTATTCTAGCCCCTTGGTAAGACTTCTCCACCTCTGCAGACACCATTGAAAACATGAACGTACGTTACTGGTCAGTATATACCCTCCACGAATTAAACCAGCCATCCGTAAAAAATTCTCGGCAACAATCCAATAATCTCAAATTAAACAAGCTAACAAAGCTATTCTAATGTACACAACAAATAAATGCCAATAAAATTACGGAGAACTTAGTTAAATTAACAAATCTGTCAAAGTCATCCAAAACATGCACAAAAAGTGTACCTATAGTATGATAGTCCAAAGTCTCAGCAATAGAATGAATTTCTTCATCCTTAATGGCAATTGCTTCCTCAAATTTGATTTTAGTAATAGCTTTTTCACATTCCCTAAGCTTCTTGATTGCATCTGGATCATTGGGCACCATCCTTTGGACCTAAAACATAAAAATACACAAATGAAAAGATCGTTCCATAAAATAGATCATAAACACTGCTCAAACTTGTATATCATACATTTGATACAGTACAGCCCTACAAGAAATTTAAGCCCATAGCTCATATCAGAAAAAACGTAAGTACTATTCGTAGTAAAACTTCGACCCATCAAATTAAAATGCTAAGTGATTGAAAGAATGGAATATGATGTTAGATAAATTCATTTTCCCAAAAGTTAAAATTATAGAACCTAAGAAATAGTTGAAATGGAGAAACCCGCTCAAGCAATAAACTAAACCTGCATTTCTATATACGTAACCACGTGATCAACACATAGTTATGCCTTAAAACAGAACAATTTGACATTACTGGGTGCTGGAACAATTGTTGCCATTTCCTTCAGACAGAACAAAGTTGTCAGAAGCAACATCAAAAAGGATTTCGGATCAGCCGAAATCAAGAAATTACCTGCCGAAAATCTTTAAAAGCTTCCTTGAATTTTAACAAAGCCAGGTAAGCAGCTCCTCTTCTGTAGTATCCCTGCACACAGAGAGGCCTCAATATCTGCAATGGCAATATATTCTAGCATAACCCTTACACATGATCGTCACCTTCAAAGGATGGAACGAACATCAAAATCAACTAGTCCCAACGAAGAATTTGCCACAATACCTTTGAATATTTAGGGTCGATTTCGATAGCCTTTGTAGCATCCTCTATAGCACTCCCATACGACTCCATCTTCGTATGGGCAAAAGCGCGATTGGCCCAATACACGGCATTCTGAGAATTTAGATCAATAGCTTGACTGTACAGTTCTATTGCAGAGGAAAATTTGTTTGCTGCATCATCACCAAAAGTAAGATGTCACTATGAGCACAAGAATGTAAGCGTCGCATAGTGTTTGTCCTCGTACTTTAAGTAGTTGAAAGAGTGATAAATCAGGAATAAAAAGTATGAACGCGAATCGTTTTGCATGCACGAAGCCAACGCTCCATGCACATGAGTGAGGCCATTCGAACGACAGAGTTTCGAGTAAATGTTTTACCCTGGAATGCAGCATTAGCAGCTGCCTTCAGTTTCTCAGCCTTCGCTGCATCCACTACTGGTGGTTCTTCCACAACTTGAGCAGCCATGCCGTTGAAAGCCTCTTTGGGCCTCAAACTTCACTTCCAGAAGTCCTTTATTATGACCTCTGAACCACTCCTCTGAACAGCAAATCAGAGTCGATCACGTGCTCGCAAGAAGCTACACTCCAAAGGTACTCTGTAAGGAGATAAATATCTGAGAAAAAATGAGTAAAGATGGGTGCAAGGTAGGCAGGTCGAGAAGGAGACTAAACACACAATCCGAGCAATAAACATAGGAACAAGTCACAAAAGGCAACGATACTGCAGTGTGCATTAAAGAATTGAATGTGGCGATTCATTATATAGTTAATCCGTCGCTATCAATAGACTGTCATTTGCTGCACTAGTAGGCAGGTAAAATTAGGGTTCTAAAATTCACAAGTCTTTTACACAAGATTGCTCGAAGCTCAAGGCATTTCATAACAAATGACTAGTTTTGATTAAGGGAACCGTCTGAATCATTCACCACAAACACTATCTCTTCCAGTTAACTTTCGAGTGTGCGCCCCAATAATCCCAAAACCTAAAAGCAAGATATATTGGTTTAAGAGGACATAGTCATTTCAATAGTGCCTAAGCATGTTCAGAAATCGTCAGCATGCACAAGGTTAATACCAAAAACGCAACCTCTTTCCTAACCCTGAAGTAGCATAGAAGAGTGCAAAGGTCAAGACCGCGACAACAACGAATCTAATGAAAAATTGTGAACAAGTACGAAAGATCGTACAGGAACAACGGCAGAGAGTTTCAGAATAACGAAGGCAATCCACATGTAATTCAAATTCACAGCACTCAATGCTGCCACTATAATTCGCCTCTGAACCAAAACTTTCACACGGTCCAGATGGACGGCGTTCGTGTCTACGAACCTGAGAATGATTGCAAACCTAAGTTTCTACAATGTGCAACGATTATCCCCAAAAGAATCACAACTTGAGGCGGTGACCCGTAACAATGAACAGGCAGAAAAGCAGTTCACAATGATCTAGCAAGTTGTAGCACGTGAACGACTAAACGAGATCAATTGACCGCACATATGCACATCACCACCTGCAACACAAGAGCAAATAGTGCACACTGCTACTTCCTCTATTTCCAGTCCGATGTTCGACAAGATCTACACAGATAACAAGTGTATTGGTAAGGCTATTATTGCGGCCATCTCCTGGCGAAGCAGTGCAACACTCGAAAGACACGATTAACGCATACAAAAAAATAAATAAACAAATAAACGCTACGCCAACCTGTCACCAAAATGGCGGCTTCAAACACTACGAAATCGCGACATCCATGGCCTGGTTTCAACCGGCTACCCGAAATCACAAACACTGTGAGCGAGTACTCAGATCGTCATCACCTGCTACACGCCTCCCCACTCAAGGGAGACGCTTCGAACCCGGCGCACGATCAAACGCGGTCGGCAGTCCGTCCCAGAATTAAAATGGACATCAACGACCTCGCCGAAGGTCGTTGCATCTGCGACAACCCAAAACCCTATATAAGGGGAAGGCAAAATTGAATAAATAACTATACACGGATTTATCGGGATTCGAGTCAACGAGGATGCCACCACACCAAAGCTACCGTCGATCCTCCTCCTCCACCTCGGGTTTGTTTCCTTCCGTAGGTGTTGTCTCGATTCTGTAGCGCTGGGGCATGGATGCAAGGAAAATGCAACAGAAAATTGACTGGAAATCCTTTCTTCCCTCGACGACCAGTTCTCGTCAGTCGGTCACCGAGCAGGACGAAGCAGGGCTGCGATTCCTCCTTCCTTCCTTTCTTCCTTCCGAGGGAGGGGAGGGAATGGAGGGTCACCAATAATCGATCACACGCCGACCCCCGTCCCCTCTCCACCACCTCCACCACCACCACGACTCCCTCGGAATCTGCATCCCCCTCATCTCAGTGCCTGTTCCGTCATGGAACCTGGCACGGACTCCCCTGGCAGTTGCTGGGTGGTGGTGGTGATTCCCTCCTTCCCTTCCTCCTTCCCGTTCTCCCAAATGAATGAATGTGAGAAGAAAGTTAAATGGAAGAGTGAGTAATTGTGATAAGCTCCATCAACGTGTTGATTCCCAAATCTTCACTTTACTATGTACTAAATTATGCATATACTTTTTATTTATCATTTGAAATTGTAACAAAACAAAAACTTTTTGTATAATTTTAATGAATAGTTTGAAACTTTAATTAATCAAATTGCCCATATTGTTACAATAGATGAATATCCAACTTTAGATGGCTCGATTTTATTTTATTTCTTTTATCAAATAGTGTAGGTCTCATGCTTCAGATTCAAAAAAGATAAGTTCATCAAAAATATCAAAAATATAAAGAAACATATTTTTGTAACAAACGGTTCCATACTTTTTACTAAAAAGAAAGAAAACAAATATTAAATTTCAGGTAAATTTAATTTCAAGTTGGTAATCACTTCATAGTATTAAAAAGAAAAAAAAAGAAAAAAAAGAAAGAAAAAAACACAATCAGACAACTATTATGCTCTTTCTTATATTTAATGTTGAAAAAAAATATATTGATTGTGTTTTTTTTTTCGTTTTTATATTTTTAAGTAGTATAATATTTCTGGTAAATTTAAATATAATCATTGTAATTCTGAAACCGTAAGGGGTTTTGTTTTGTTAAGAATTATGTATAATTGAACAGTACTTACAATATTAAATATATAATACCCACATCCATATGGTATTTATATCTCAGAACATTAAAAGAAAGTTTCCACATTTATTTATAATACACAATGCATCATTGTTTAATTACTTGTAATTTTAAGCTTTTGTATTACCAGAAATATTACCATTTTTGTTTTTTGATTAAAAAAATTAAAAAAATTAAAAAGTGGAGATCAATCAAAATTACAGACTGTAATCTATACAGAATCATTGGCTATTTTAACTTAAGATTAAGAATTCAAACATACTAGATAGTAGTAATTTCATGTGGATCTTGATCTGAAAGAATACAATATAGAATTAAGTTGTATGGTATAGATTTCAAAATATACAAAAATTTAGATTCTATTTTCAACAGTCATAGGATAGTTTGTTTTCACGGGAATATGTTAAAGATTTATAATCTCAATTATATTTTTGATTTATATTTATTCCAATTCACAATTATATTATCTCAAAGAGATGGTTAATAATGAAACTTGATTTATTCTTACCATGGGTTTGCCAAAGAGCTTTGCCCTAGAGAGGGTTCATACAACAGGATGAATATATCCCAAAAGTAACGACACGTAGAGGGAGGGAAACCCAATCAAACTACCCAGCGAGGCAACCAACCAACCAACCAACACAGATAATAACTTTTCCATTGTTATTGAGAACCAACATGGCTAATTCACCCCAAAACGGCATACCGTGAAAAAGACAACGCAGCTTTTCAGGGTCACGAACATTAAAATTAAAAGTTGAAGAAAAGAACAAAAAGTAAAGAAAAAGATATTAAAAGGGACTTTTAGTTGCAGCACATATCTCAATCTGCAGGGGGATTCGCGGAACTAAGAGAAGCACGTGTCTAGTTCCGGAACGCAGGCAACAGAAGAACTCGCGGTGGAAGGGAAGCGCGGTGGTAGGGCAGATCCGCGAGGCACGTGGTGATGGAGTCCGGGTAGGGGGGAATTTGACGCGCAAGCAAGCAAGATGGAGAGGAAGGGAAGGGAAGGAGAGGGCGAGGGCGAGGGCGAGGAAGGAGGACACTCTTTCTCTTTCTCTCTCTTTCTCTCTTAGTGAAGTGCCTACTTGTCGCGGTTAGGGCTGGGTGGGTGGCTGGCTGGGGTGGCTGTCTCGTGCTCTCGTGTATACCCTCCTCCCCCCCTTTCCTCCCGCCCTACCTCAGGGCATAGCTTCATATCTACTCATGCTCCCCTCTTTGATTGCAACGCTACTCCAGGGTTTCTGATTCTTCTCTTCTCGGGACTGGATTCAGGCAAGCACGTCGAATTATTCCCTCCCTTTCTATTGTTTCGGATTGTTCGATTTCTGTTCTGTCCTGGAGTGGCCGTCGCACGGAGGGCCTCTCGTTTCTTCTAGGTTTACTAGGGGATCGTCTCGTGTCTTTTGGTGGAAGACCAATAAATTCGTAGGTTATTCGGTGTGACTCACTGAAGGCGAATTGGTGGGGGTTGCGTCAATGTTTTTTGCGTTTTTTGCGTTTTTTTGCGTTTTCTTTTTCTTGGAAATAGTGGCATGAGGATCTAACAATTGTCAGCCGAAAATAACAGGGTATGTGAAACCAGCGCGAGCGAACGTCTGCGTCGTTAGTCTCGGCCATCTGAAGGCATACTAGTTATGCTCATACGATATCATTTTTTTCATGTAGTATAAAGTCTGGTGTTCAGCCTTTCTGGGAAATTTTTCAAAGGCAGCTTGCTTTTCTTGTTTTCCAACCTCATCAGTTCCCGTATAGTAGCCGCACTTAGTCGCATGCCGCAGACTGCTTTCAGGATCGTAGCTGAGGATTCGATAAAATTTTGCGGTTTACTTAGAGGGGCCGATTTATAAAACTTCGAGTCAGAGCACGATTTTTTTTTTCAACAATCTTCGCATCCAACTATTTTGATTTTAGATACCCTGTTTTTAGTGCCGTGTATTAGAGTTGGTTCAAAGACAAGTTTGAGCTGGTTCATTCTGCTGTACAGCATGGTAAGTGTGCTGCATTTTATGAATCAAGGTGCTGTGATGATGGTGGAACTTTGTGATGATGAGTTCTCCGAAATGTTTGGCGGTGAAGAACCTAATTAGAAGTTTAAGAGGCAGGGAAGCAAAACCGTCTATGGTTGAACATTAAATGTAAATCCTAATTACTTTTTAGAGTCGTAAGATCATGTAAGCACATCTCAGTGGTTTTAGAATTTCGATCAAGCACTCCACCGTTAGAAGGCATGTAGGTTTTATCGCTTTTACAACCAACAACTTGTCGGTATGGCACGATCATTAAGACCAGAATATGATACGAACCCTTACAATGTTTGTATTGATTACTTAAAATATTAATGTAAATATCTTTAAGCGTCCATATCCAAATTCTTGTGCCATGTTCTTGTGTGCGAGTTTATTTTTCTTTTGAGAATGCCTGCATTGCGTCTCATGTTTTGAGGTCCTGAGGTTCGGACTGTGTTCTTTTACTTTATTTTGTTGGTCTACTATATTTGTTGGTCATTATTTTGAGTTACTCATACGTGTTTTGTGAATCTTGTAGTCATTCGACATGCTCGCTTGGGTGCCTTTAAGGAAATAGTTTTTAAAAGGGAGAGAGTGTGCGTGTTCAACGGCAGTCATGTCATTCATGTCTGTCCCTGCCTTGGACAGATTGCTTGAGTCATCAGAGATCGATCCGACCGCAGTACCATCATGGAGCGCAAGAAATGACAGAAGAACTGCTGTTAGTATGTCACCATTGTTTTCATCCCATCTTCATCCCAAGCCATCATCACCTCAGCCAGGCATCTCTCCTACTACTTTCTACCCTTCTCCATATATACTGAGTTTCAAACGGCAAGTCTCGGATGGGACCGATGGTGGCATTGTAAAGGCGACTTGCTATGGTTTTGACGAAGCGATGCAACGCACCAGCGGTCAAATACGTGAATTGACTTCTTTCAGGGAGAGGAGCGAGGTAGCATCAGACTTTCGAAATAAAGTGACGAGTAACGACGTTGTGCTCAATGAGGATGTGACGCTGCCGGTTGGGGCAGTTGAAGACGATATTGCTGTAGAAGGCAAGTCGTGGGAAGGGCAAGAGAATTTTCGGTTCCAGAACACTGATAATCTTGAAAAGCAGATGAGCAATACGGTAACGGAGAAAGTGGAAGTTAAGTCCAATGGATGGCGGAGGCAAGAGTCTGGAAAAGGGTCGAGAAGCCGGAACATGTCTATTGGACACCAGGATAGTGATTTATCTTCCATGTCTTCATCGACTCGAGAAGAGTTTTTTGACGCTCCAGAAGAACCACTTGAGGGTATGATTTCTGCTTTCAATCAGTTTGCCTGTTAAGTTGTGATAAGCTGTTCAAGGCTGGTAAGGATCGATGTGCTTACGCCGAAGTGTTAGGCTGCCGGGAAATAATTCATCTGTAACAAAGGAACTTGTCTTTCTTGCATCACCAGGTAATACTAGTGACGAGGACAGTTTGCGAGGGCAGAGGACTGCAAGGACGAAACCTGATTGTAGACGTGACGTAGATGTTAACTTAAATTGGCAGCTGGATCAAGAGATCAAGCGTCGAATGGCTGCGGAAGATGCCATGGCAGTTCTTCAGCTTCAGTGCTCTGAAATGGCGTCTCACCTGATGTCCGTAGATGGGGGAAACCGGGGCTTGATTGATTTAGGTGGAAGTAGCTGGGATAGTAGTTCCCTGGCTCAAAAGCTGGTGGTTGCACGGATCGTGGCCGCTTCTGTGGCCAGAGGAGCTGCGAGGGCTGAGGTTGGCGAAGAAATGGAAAATGTGGTTGCGGAAAAGAATCGTGAAATTACAAGACTGCGGGATAAGCTGCACTATTACGAGCTTGTGAATCAGGAGATGTCTCAACGCAACCAAGAGGCTTTCGGTAATTCTCTGGTGACCCTATTATGGACATTTGAGTTGGAAATTGGTTGTTTAAAATGAACACATAATTTAGAACTTTAGTGCATGGTTTGAAGTGATTGACCGACCGACCTACCTGTGTAATGAGCGAGAGGCTGTTGTGGTAACTGGTCGATGCTATGTAACACTTGCTCGACAGAAGCTTTTTTTGTTTTTTTGTTTTTTTTATTTTCTAATAGTAAATTCTAGGACTAGGTTGTCTTAGTATCTAAAAGGATAAAATGACCAACTAAACTTTATGGGGGTTAGGTTGTTTATGTGAATTACAGTACTAGCTCGCAATGGAGAAGTACGTGATTAAATTTTGTGATTAATTGGTTTCTTGATTGAGTTGGACATGTCAACGTTGATTACAAGTCATTTATACATATTTACTGCTCGTTTTAATTTTTACACATTGTAGGGACTTCCTTTGTCTCAGGACAGTACGAGTAGTATTCTAACATACCTCTCACTTGGTGTCGACAGTATTTATGTTTGAAGTGAGGTTAGCTCTGAATGCTGCATTCCTTTTTGTTTGGTTTTCCTCGTAGTTTTTGGAGCAGATGTTGAGGAGTTATGTCGAATTAGCTTTGTTGTAGTGAGTGGGCGACGGGCTCTTTTTCAAGTCTACGTCCTTCGTCGAACTAGCAGATGCTTAAAGAACTGCCTGGTGTGATATTCCCGTGTGAGTCGTCACAAGGGTGCCAAGTTGTGGCGAGTAGTGGACATCTTTGAAGATGCGTTCCTTGGCTCGAGCTAGTATCTTGTGGTAACATGGAGCAGCAGGTCTCTAGTTGGAAAGTATTGCTCATTAATGTTCGTTTGTGGCAGAACTTGCAAGAAATCGGAGGCACATGAGGCGAAATCGGAACCAATGGCTCACGGTCTGTGCTGGTAGTGCAATTTGCTTAGGCATTACGGCACTAGTGGTGGGCAAGTTTGTTCCCTGGGCTTCCTCTAGATTTCCTTCTGGAGCTGTTCTGCAATCCCATTCGCGGACAGATATACATCATTCTTTATCTCATGACGCGTGAGCTTTTGAATTGCACTCTGGTTGACATGGATAATTAGGGACTCTTTATCCACAACTCCGGGGCTTCTTTCGTAGCCCAATGTTATTTCCATTATAGTCCCATTACGGGAACCAATTTTAACCAAGTGATATTCCACGTTGGGTATCACTCATACTTGTTTCTTGATCACACTTTTAAAAGTTAGTAAATACGATTCATATGTATTCTTTTGAATCTGATCTGTCACCAATCTCATCAGCAACTACGCACGCTGCCTTTTGTCTATTATTGTATGCATACAATGTGTTCTCATTGCAGCTCTCAGTACCATTGCGTCCCTCTCAACTGTGGACTTAATCTTGTTCGAGTGAAATATATTGCACTGTCATTTTGTGCCTTGACAGTTCCTTTGAGGCGTCTTCTCAAGACTGATTGCCCCACTGATCAAGAGAGAGAGAGTGAGAGACGGAGTGAAACTTGTGGCCTGTAATGAAGGCGTGCTTTCCAAGGAGGATGCAAATTTGCAAACCATCGATTGACAATTGATAACATCTCTTTCCGATTTCAATGTGATGGATATAAGCCAGTTGCAGGAGGAATACCGACATTTCGTACACCTCTAACTGTTTACCCTGTAGACTGTGTTTGTCCCGCGGTACCTATGTGAAAAAGGTGTTGCACATATTCAATGACGGTTTACTTCCTTTCTTTCTCTACTACATTTTACAATACGTGTCTGGATAGGAGCATTACATCAATTGTATAGGTATGGATTTGTAAAGTTATGAATCGGCTCTGCTTGTTCTAATCTCTTGAAAAGAGGATTACGCTGTTATTTTCTGTTCTTTAAAAGGTAGTACAAGTTCAAACTCCACCAACAATGAATGCTCAAACCAAATCAACGACAATAAGATTTCGATATACTGCTCCAACTACTGAATGAACACATTATGGCTGCTTGAGAGTAACAATCTGCTGATGATGACTTGCACAAACTATCACCAAGTCAAGTGAGAAGAGGAAAGAAAAAAATTAAACAACTGAATCACGGAGAAAAGAGATATTCCTGAGACTCAGGTTTGAATGTTCCCCAGTTGCACAACCCTGACAATCGTCGAACAAACCACGAAGAATGAGAACCAAGACGTGAGAGAATAATTGAGAAAACTATGGAAAAGCAGGCGAGTGTGAATTATGCAAGAGGTGAAGGGCGAGGCATAGGTTGAGGTTCTTCAGGGGCAGGACGAGGAGGAGGAGGAGACGAGGACTGAGATTCTTCAGGTGCAGGAGGAAGAGAAGGAGGAGGAGGCTGAGGTTCTTCAGGTGCAACAGGAGGGGGAAGGGGAGGAGGAGACTGAGGTTCTTCAGGGGCAGGAAAAGAAAGAGGAGGAGGAGACTGGAGTTCTTCGAAGACAAGAGAAGGAGGAGGAGGGGGAGGTTGCGAAGACGGAGGCCCAGGGTGAGGGTGAGGAAGTTCCGAGGGGGGAGCGAGGGAGGAGACGGCGAAGGACTGGAAGTGGCAGAGGAGCTTGGAGGAGCGGGAGGCGCCGGACTTGGAGCGTAACGCCACGGAGCGAATGCCGTAGCGCAGCTCCCTCACGGGCAGGCACGCCTGCCCGACGAAGTCATGGTTTCCCATGTCCCACTCCCAGCACTCCAGCCGAAGCACCGCTATCTCCGGCACTTTCACATCCATCCACATCCATACCATTCATTCACCACTTCATCCATATTGATCATTAATTCATTCATACACTTGACTCGAGCTCATTTATTCATCTACTCTTGTTGTGAGGAGGAGGAAGGGGACATGGATGGATGAGAGAGAGTTGGGTGGGAACGAGAGGGGAACGACAAACCTCGGAGAGGGAACTCGAAGTGCTCGTGTTCCCAGTGGGGTTCAATGCAGTTGTAGATGACTTGGGTTTGTCGCTTGCTTGCATCATTTTTCACACCATGCACAGCAACCTGACACACCACCACCACCCCCATCTCTCATTCTCTTTCTCTATATCACGGCATTCCTTCTATATCATAAATTTCTATTTATATTTATATATACTTATATATACGTATAAATGCTTACATCATTGAAACATATGGAAGGAGAACAATACCTGGAAAATTTAAGCAATAAGAAACATTTTGATAAAATGAAATTGAGTGAGAAGTCATATTCATGAATGTTTATAATTTATGATTTCTTATTTGGTATTTTATGAGTAATTTGGTATTTCATGTATTTTTTCTTCTATTGAGCTACTTTTATTTATTTTATTCAATTTAAAGAAATTGATCGAAATTTATTATTTACTCTTTGAGTATACTTCTAAATGATGAAAGTCCCATGAAACCAATGAAGAACTTGATAATATGGATTTTTCAAATGATAAGTTTTAATTTGAATAAGTATGAATAAATGTTAATCATATTCAACCAACTCTGCGAATCATGTGTGAATCACATGAAACAGATGGTTGTAGAGTTTTTCTGTGAATCATACCTTTACATAAAAATCAGGATTTTTGAAGAAGTCAAAGTTTCTATGCCAATTTGTTCCTAACAATACCGTGACCTGCAAACAATGCACACTGAAGGTTATTTTTGTCAATCCTATATAAAAAAAAAAAAAAAATATATATATATATATATATATATAGGGCTATTAATTACAGCATTTCCAGTTGACCAAAACAGTGGCACAATAGAAGCACAAACACAAAATCAATTGTTGGTTTCAAAATTTTCTTTTATTTTTTCACAAAGGTTTTAATATATATATATATATATATATATATATATATAAATATTACAGTTAGATGTCATTATTTCTATAATTTCCATGAATTTGAATCCACCATAAGTAAAAATAAAATTCTGTACTCAGACAAATTATTGTTAAAATAAATTTAAGTTTGAATATCTTCATTTGTTTATACTCTCAATTTTACTTTATTTATTTACTTTGTTGTCTTCAAGTACCCAAAAAAAGATTCCCTCTAAGATATGTATTACATAATAACATATTACCATATTAATCCATTGGTATCATATAATCTATTTGGAATTGAAAACTTTCATTGCTCTGTACATCATTTGAATTCTATTTCAAAATAATATTGTTCGTATTGAGTGATTCAATGCTAACAATGGGCGATGAATTTAGACACTATTTTGTGTTGTCGATAGATAAAATTTTATTTATTTATATGTTTTATTAAATTTCATAGAACTTCCAAATTATCATGTGATATCTTTGTATGTGCATAGATATTACTTTTACTTCCTAAAATTTACACACAATGGAGTTCCATTCATTTGCAAGTAAGCAAAACAAGTACAATGTTTACAGGTTATGACTTAGAATAGTACCCTCAGAATCATCTTTATGGGCAAATTTAGAATATCTTCATGAGAGAGTGAAAAACCAGGCAAAAAAATGTCGGGCTTTTTAACATAACCCGTGTGTCCATTGACTTGGAAGAAGCCTTTGGCCAACCAAACTGGGCGGTCTCTCCCTTGGAGATTGAGCGCAGCAATTTGGAAGCCATGGCTCCATGCCAACATTGGATCTGCATTGGATGAGTTGAACCGCAACCCAAATGGGTACACTCTCCCCAAATTCATCTTTGAATATCTGCCCTTGACACATCCAACCACACAATTTGAGAAACAATCTCAAAAAGAAACAAAAAAGAAAAAAAGATATCACTTCTTTGCAACTTTCTTACCATTGCATCCAATGACACTTAAACTTTGTTTATTTACTTCGTTTTTTTTTTCAGCACATATTTGACTCTGTGATCTTTGAAAGCAAATACAATAATACAATGTCAACCATTACGTATGATTTACTAAGCACACTACCCTTTGAGGATGTCCAACACATACACACACACACACACACATATATATATATATATATATATATATCCATATCCTTGAAAAGAAACAGATGATTGCTTTGGTTGAGCATCATATACAATTGTGTGTACATATATACACACACATACACACACACAGTCACTCACATATACATATATACACACACACACATACGTGTAAAGTTTCAACAGAATGAACATAACTTCAGACGGTATACAGATCCAGAACTCGAGTCAAGCAATCCTCTGCTTCAACTAGAAAACCCATGATCTCATACGTCCACACACACATACAACATACAAAGAAACAACATAGTAAACATAAACAAACAAACGAACACACAAACAGACAAAGCACACACACACACACAGGATTGACTGATTGATGTAATTCACAGCTCCTCACAGCCCTGGCGGTGGAACAATTGCAGTGAATTTGGCGGCGTCGCCGGCGTCATCGAGGTCCACTGTGTGTGTGTGTGTGTCTGAGTGAGTGAGTGAGTATGTGTGTGTGTTTTGAGGTAAAGGTGCAGAGAAGAACATACACATTCAGACAGACAGACAGACAGACAGAGTGCGTTGGTTGGATGCAGTAGGGGAGGGGAGGGGGAGGGGGACGGACTCAATGAGAGAGCCGGGATGGCGGGCGATGAAGTGCTGCAGCTGAGGCTCGCTCAGATTGGCCATGATCGCCCGGTCCCCGCCCACCAGAGGGCCCTCCTCGTGCTTGGCCTTCTTCATCTCCGAGGGCTTCGCGCAGTACAGATAGATCAGCTCCTGGAACTCCACCGTCTCCGGCACCTCGATCTTCTCCACCAGTAATGACTTCCGCAGCACCTTCGCCGCCGTGTTGGCCACCCTCAGGACCGCCTTCTTGTGCGCTCGCTTGATGTGCTTCTTCAGCCGTTGCGCGTGCCGCGTGTGGTCGCTCGTCGATGCGTGCGCGTCGTCCAGTTCGTCCGTGGCCAGGACTTGAGCTGCATTAGGATCAACTGCCAGCTGCCCAGGAATGTCAAACACTACACTACGATCGCATGTTGAATGCAACAGTTCAAGGATCTTCAACAACCTCTCACCACAATGCCAAAACCCAATTCCCCGCATGGGCTTGTTTGAAATCCCCTTATCATCCTCTCAGCGACTTCATGGCTCGATTGCAACGGTAGTCTATCGGGGTTCATGTCATCCAGATCCACGTTCTTTCAACTGTTTTGCGAGCATCTAACTCTCATTGGAAAGATCATGCTTTTGCAAACAGTGGAAAGAATACCAGAAATGCATGCACACTTCGACGGAGGAGGATTTGCGACGATAGACTCTCAACTTTTCAATGCATTGATGCTTTCAGTTAAATTCCACACGAGCAGTATTTAGATTTCTCGATCTCCCATAAACACTACCACATCCACAATTTATGTAAATAAATAAATAAAAATGCCAAAAGAGTGGAATACATACTTGGTCTTCAATTGTATCACTGGGAGGTTGATCTGATACGATGATGAAACCCTTTAAGACTTCAGGTGATTCGAATTGAAGAGGAGGCCTTTGCTCTCTGGAAGGATAGAACAGACTCTCACCCAAAATCTCACGCAGCACCTGAAGAATTGTATCCACCCAATGCAAATGGATGTTCATATTCTCCTCATCAATGTTGTGTACCATTGCTTTTTGTTAATCACACCATTCTTCTTTATATATATATATATATATATATATACATAAATGATGGTTTTTGGTACAATCCATCACAGTCTTTACACTCAAGGAAAGGAACCAAAACTTGACAGGTGATGCATGTCATTGATTTAAAACAGTAAAAATTCATTGTAAGAGAAAAAAAAGAAAAAAAAAGAAAAACTCACTAGAGCAGCTTTCTTCTGCATTTCAGCTCCCATGTGGTTTTCAATTGTGATGATCACTGGATACTGGGATGCTATAAATGCATTCTCTTTTATTGCTATTACACAGTCTTTGAAGGGGATGGCACTTGTCAATGTACTGGAAAAAAAACAACCCACACAAACATTATCTCTCTCTCTCTCTCTCTCTCTCTCTATATATATATATATATACATACATACATACATACATACAGAGACACATAAACACTAACACACTTTTAATTTTTTGTTTGTTTTAAAATTCCAAAAAAAGATCCATAATGTCAATCACAATGACATTTTGTTTATTGTTTTTTTAAGAGAAACATGTAAAAGAAAGATATAAAACAAACCCACAACAAAAAAATTGGGGTTCTAGTGGGGGAAATAGAAAGGAGAGGAAAGGTGATGATGTGGCAGCATACTTGCCATGGAGAACCACAATGTCATTGTTGGTAGAGCCACTCCAACATTGTTGCCCTTGTTTTTCCCAACAATCAAGTTCAATGACTCGACATCCATTCCGAAGAGCCTCTATTATTGGCACAATGCTTGATGAGGAAGTTAATTGGTTGCCAGTTAGGTATGAATTGTGACTTGCATAAATGTAATAATGGGACAATGGCCTTGTCATGTCATGTGTGGGCTGGAAAATATGGTTGATTTTTAATGAATCTATATACATATATAAATATATAGGTAGATACTCATGCCACAATCATATACATATATATATATATATATATATAATTATTTTAACTCAAAAACTTACAATTAAATCTATTTTTAGATATAATTAACATATAATCATTTTTATGAGATTTTATGTTTTTTATTACCGAAACACTTGTGAGCATAGATTTGTGAATTTAGCAAAATATTGAAATCTTTATATAGAAACAAAAAATCAACAGAATAATTATTTTTTAAAAAAAAACCCATATTTTTTTCTCATTAATTGAACTTTTGGAATATGTTTCATTCATAGGTTTGCAATCAATTCCAATATTATGCAAGCTTGTAAGAGAAACTTACAATATCTGTGTCTGAAATGGGAGGGTTCAATTTGGCATTCACCAAGTAGTTTGAAAACCCTAATAGATCCAGTTGCACACTTTGCACAGAGATGGAGAAATGGAACCCAGCAATTGCGCTCAAAACAGTTTGTGTGACCAATGAGGCCACTTGGTGTTCATCCAATCCTTTTTGTCCCTGAACCTTTTCCAAAAATGTTGCAAAATCCAAAGCATTCATGTAATTCTTTCCTTGTGCAGCTTCATGAAACATGGTTTTCACAATCTCCGGCGGAGTGTGTTGGAGTACATTTGGTCTTGGAAGTACACACTCACATCCAATAATTGTCATTTTTTCCAAATCTTAGCGTGATTGCTTTTGGTTTTGTACAAATATTGCACAAATTTGGGGACTCATAACTATACTATTGTAAATTTGAACCTAATCTATGTTTGTGAGCAGTCATGCACAAGTTTGTGATAAAATATAAGATTTTTTTAGAGTATACAACAATGAAACTTTTGATGTGAGCATTAAATGAAGCTTCAGTTTTGCTAGTGTTGGTACAGGTTTTTCTCATTGTGCATCCCAGAATATAGTTCTGAGAACAATGATTTTTTCTAATTTTTTTTTTTTTTTTTTTTTTTTTTTTTTTGCATTAAATGAAAAAATAATCCTCATAAAATTTCTTACTTTGGAAAGGGAAAGTAAACATCAAAGAGTTTTTACAAAAATTGCAGAGTTTTCAAGAATGTAACCAGTGTCTAAAGCATATGGTTTGTACATATATGATACAGATTTTGAATTGTGGTGGTATCTGCGGCTCTTCTAATGTGTATTTAATTACTAATAATCATCATAATAATATTACTATTATTATTATTATTAAAAATGGATGATAAAGTAAGTAAAGAAAGAAAATTGCAAAAATACATAATTGCAAACTCAAAGTTTTAGTATGATTTATACTTAAACTCTAATGTCAAATGTTATCCTAAACCCTTAGCAGTAGCCAAATTTAAAATATACAGTGCATTTTAATATTTTTTGAGCTTTGATGTGGTTCTTTCTAATTTAAAACATGCCATCAAGGTAATTTCAGAAGAATAAAGTATGTGATTAGTGTGTACACAGGCAAGTAATCATTTTTAGCTCAAAAATTGATGTTTCAAATCAATAAAAGCTCTTGATAATAGATTAGGTAAGATTTTTTATTAGTAGTTTTTCATAACTTCTTCTTTCTTGCTTTTTTATAAAAAAATATGACATTGAAATTTTATGTTTTTATGTTCTTCAAAAAACTAATTAAACATTTTATCTCAACATTTTTTTAAAATATAATTCTTATGAAGTTGAAAATTTTTGATTTTAAACATGTAATGCATTTTTTTTTTTTTTTTTTTTTTTTTTTTTTAATGCCGAAGAACTTTTAATACTTCTTGTACCAAAACTATTTGCTTGATACCAAAAATAAAATTTTGAATCTAATAGCTTTAACTTTAAATTATTTGTAGTTTTTTTAATCCAAATTTATTGTTTTTATTTATTAAAATAGTATAAATTCTATAAGTCAAAATTTAAACTTTAAAACATCTTAAATCAACATACAATTTTAGTTATATTTATAAATCCATTTTATCAATTTAGGTAGGGCCATCATGTTTTCTATTATCAATACTTAAGGAGTAATATGTTTTTCATGTAGAATACTTTACTTATCTATTTTAAGTTCTAAAATATAATTTTTAATACTAAAATATAAATAATATTATTAGAATATATTACTCAGAAATAACAATATTTTTTTTTTGCTATAGTAGCATTTCTAGTTTTAGAATTAAACATATTAATTTTAAAACCATTTTTTTTCTTTCTTTTTTATCAAAATCCTTTACATTTATCTAATTATGAATACCTATGTGTTCATTTATAATTAATTTTATGTTATTTAATTCTTGTAATAACTTGTTTATCATGATTTTAAAAAATAAATTTATAAGTAAATAGATTTGTTATTTGCATAGTAAAAACAAGAAGTTTTAAGGCACTACTGTAAGATTTATTTTTAAATCTTAAGCTTTAATATTGTATATATTTTTTGATAATTAAAATTAATATATTATGACAAAAATGTAAAGTCCATATTTTTACTATTATTAAAAACTATCATCTTAAAATTTTAAAGCTTAATTTATAACTATATAACTATATAACTATAACTATATATATATATATATATATATATATATAGTATTATCACTACTATTATAATATATAGAATTTTTTAGTTTTTTAAAAATATAACCTATATATTATAGCAAGAGTTGTAAAAATAATCTTAAATATAAATGGTATGAAATTGCGGATGGAAAAGAAAATGTTTGTACTTAATGAATATGTAGAATATAATCTTTAAATCTTTTTAGATCCACAATCAAATATTTGAATCATTATGTATGTCATTATGTATAAATTCTTTAATATAATCTACACATATTCTAAATGTCTTTTTTGGAGATTAAAATTCCTGATAAATACTAGTATATCCTTTTTGTAATGCTTAAGTAGAATTATCATGTAGAATTTGATAAACTAATAAGAATCATTCTTATTAAGTGTATTTTTTTATTTTTTATTTTTTATAAAATTACTTATATTTTGTAATATGTACTTTGTAAATCCAATATTAAAGCTCATTTAATTTTTAATGCAAATATTTATTTTTTCAAAATTAATATGTTAGTTTAGAAACCAAAAAAATAAAATAATATTAATTGTTATAAAAAGAAGCTAGTATAACCTACCTTAATAGATCAATAAGTATGAAAGATATGAATCTAAACAAAACTTTAAAAAGATAATACTTATGTGATATTAAAAATGAAGAAACTAAATAAAACAAAGAAATAGATTAAAATAAAAAGATAAAGTTGTATGACTATTTCTAAATACAAATTAAATAGTCTTAAATTAGAGAGTCTTAAATTATGGCTAAAATACTAAAAAGATGTTGATAAGACTAAGAATTTCCTCACTCTTACCTGCTTATATACTTACTACTAAGGTCTTCTAACAACTTTCAAAGGATCACAAAGCTTATGACTAAAAAGCCAATATTTTAGGTTGTTTCTAACACGTCATTAAAAAAGTTTCTTAAAATAGTAAGAAATTATATAATTTTTTTATATTATCACATGAAATATGTATAACAATATAAATATTTAATTAATATCTAAGAAACTTCTTCAAAATTTCTTAAGAAAGATATTATCTACTTAACATGTTTCTATCTACTTCTTTTTATTTATATTTATGTAAGTAATATAGGCAATAGATCTAATAACACCTTTTATTATACCTATTTACATATTAAAAGATTAATGGCAATTAATAAAGATAACAATAAAGTTTACTTCTTGAAACTAATTACTATTTTGCATTAATACTTTTGATGTTATCTACAATCCAACATTAGTCTTTTTATAAAAAAAAACCTAATCTAGATGTTTATTCTTTTTATTTATATTTGTCAGATAAAATTTAAAAACTTATCTTAACAACAAATTTCCCCTTGTTTAATACTCTTTATTCTTAATGTTTACATAATTTGTTTTAAAAATCAGTAACTTTGATGCTAAAATTTTAATTTGATTTTTTGATTCTTTTTCTATAAATCCTTATACATAAAAAGACTAAAGATAGTACTTATACTTGGTTATATATGTCAAATTAATAAATGACATATTAAACAAGATATTATGCATGCAATATTTCTTGCATTGCATCTGTAAGGCAATCCGTGTCCTTCCTACATACAACTATTATTCAAATAACACTTCATACCACAATTATTTGTAAAAATACACAATTTATTACAATATGGTCTTTTATAAATAAATATTTATCTATCTGTTGCTATAATCTTAATAGCTATTGATTTCCAAACTTCTTAATGTAACTAAAAGAAGTTTCATTTTGTTGGTGAATATTTATTATTCTTTTTTATTTTTTTATTTTTTTAATGTAAAAATCATGTCTACGATTTATTATTCTTATAAAAGCTACATTTATACGAATTTCTTGTATTACCAATAATGTGTTCTTAGCTTCAAAACACACTATTAAATATATATCAATGGAGTGATTAATAAAGTTTATATCCTTCAAAGCATTATTTTTTATATAGTTAATAATCACAAGTTTCTTTTTGTGGAGCATATTGTTTTGGTTGATTGGTTAAAAAATATTTTGTGACGAAAAGACATGGTAATTTTAAAAGAAAAAATGATAAAAAATACCAAGAACATTCTATGCATTATTAGGTTAATTTAAGTATGATTTTTTTTTTATTGCTGAATTTATATACTTGAAACATATCTATAAAATATATAATAAAATTATTATATACACATTTTATTATTATGTAATACATTATCTATTTTAAGTTAAAATTATTTTATTTATTTATTTTTATTAAAATTATATTAATAAAATATTCAAATTTAACAACATCTAATGTTTTTAATATTAATACTTGAAAAGAATTGAGCTACTTTTAAAGAGAAATAGGTCTTTAAAAGTATATTAATAAATCTTGATATTATCAAACTAACATATTTGAATTAAAACATGATATTATATGATCTTATTTTGGATTAAATATTACTATAAAAAAATTAAAAATATTCATGTGAAGCCAAATCCATCAAGTGGTATTTTAGAGATTACATCAGAACTGAAATAAACATTATTTCAAAATTTTAAATGTTAAAACAAATTTAAATATAAAATAAAAAAAATATAATTTTTTTCTGGTGGAATCTAAATATTTTTTAAAATAATATAAAATCATACAGACAATTGTTATTTTACATGTTTAATAACTATAACCTCCATGAACTTTTAATGTTTGTAAAATTTAAAAAATTCAGGTTATATTTCAAAAAAAAATCTATTTAACATAGTTACACATAAGTTTGAATATTTTTGGGTTTTTGAAAAAAAATAGTTGTTTACCCATGGGCGGTGATGGTCATAAATGCATTATAAAACAGTAATTGTAAGCCATTAACATGACTACGACATATGCTTTCTTTGGTACGTTGTCTTGTGGTAACACTACTATATAGTGTAAAATAAAAATATGGATGTTATTATAAAAGAGCTTAGTAAAAAGATGTAATAAAAAAATAAGAATAAATAATAGAAGGATAGTAAAAAACTTAATCTTAATACTATCTTTTATAAAAGAGACCTCTATTTACTTTGTAGAGGCATAAATGAGTCAAATCAAGGTAAATGAGATAAGAAATTGATATAGGAATGTTAAAGAAAGAATTAAAAATATATTAAAGCAAAACTTACCTCAAATTACCAAAAATTGATATTTGAAGTAGACCAATTGTCATTTGGATTGAAAACAGACTCCAAAGCACAAAACCAAATACCAATGGCAACTCTAGTATTCTTTTGAAAATCAAAGAGCAAGATTTGAGAGTAAACTTGAGAATTTTTTTTAAAATATTAGTCTCATACCATTTGGATTAATATTGAGATTTTTAGAGAATTTCAAAGTTAATGAT